GTGAAGTTTCGTAAAATCCTTTCTTAACGGATGCCTACGTTATAACATCTACCTGCATGCCAAAGTTCAGCCCGATCCGTCCAGTGGTTTGGGCTGTGCGTTGATAGATCACTATGTCAGTCAGTAATATGTATATTTTAGATTAGATTAGGTGTCTAAACTTAACGATAAGTACCTAGAGGCAGTATTTCCATGTCCAGTTAATCGCGAAGGTAATTAAAGAATTAATCACCAACTAGCTTGCGAAGCGGCTAATTATCCCGTCTGGGTTACGGCAATTTCGAACTTTGTCTAACTTACTATTTATGAGGACTAGAACTCTGCACAGACTTTTAATCTGCATTTTGTTCTTAAGAGTAAGGCCAATGTCTTGTAGCTATGATGAATTGATGAACCTTCATAAGTCTGTCACAGGGCGTTCCTCGATTGAATTCTTTATATTCACAGTTTTGTGAATAAAAAATCTATCCAATACAAAATAATAATTATGCTCAAAGCTAGTTCCTGATACTGAATCCTAAACCATAGAGGTGAAAAGGTAACAGACACATAGAGTAGAAGATACTTTAGAGTTATAATAGACTAGCGACCCGCCCATGCTTCGCACAGGTACAATGTATTTATACTTAAAAACCTTCCTCTTGGATCACTCTATCTATTTAAAAAACCGCATCAAAATCTATTGCGTAGTTTTAAAGATCTAAGCATGCATAGGGACAGACAGACAGCGAAGCGACTTTGTTTTTTAATATGTAGTGATTGTAGTGATAGTGATAATAATATGTGTACAGAACAGAACAGAAATAAACACAGATAGCATTTCGATATATTCATCGTATTAACATTTTCAATTCGTCCAATGAGATCTGATTATTTACTCAAAAAACATCGACACTGACAAAATAACCGCGTAATTTATTCAGCATTAAAACAAAGGCTTGATTAAAACATGAAATTTCAGTGTAAACGAAGCCAAATGAATCCGAGTACATTTTAATGGCGGATTTCATAAGAACCGAGCGGCCATGGCCATAACCATGAGCTTATTAAGCCGTACGATCGAAATGAGCCTTCTGAACAGCCAGTTAACGAGTAAGTGCTAGTCGAACAGCCTGTTATGCCACAGCCTGAAGTAATCAGCCAACTATTTTGCAGCTAATTAAAATAAAATAAAAAATACTTAATATACTTGGACATTTTTACACTGCGCCGCTAGCCCCAAACTAAGCAAAGCTTGTACTATGGGTACTAGACAACGGATATAAATACTTTTTTTTTTTGTAAATACATACATCATTTTATTATACATAGAAAACAATTGACGACTGAAGTTTTTGTATTACACAATAAATAAAAATGTTAACTATCACCAAATAGGCGGCATAGTAAAGTCCTAACCTAGTTTTAACGTTTACGTATTCATTAAGTGTAATAAAGACTTTATTACTTTATTAGTGTAAATTTAAGAATGTTACTTAATATCAAGATGTAGTATGCTCTTGTCATAAAATGTAATAAAAGCTAATAGGAGACTTCTCCAAAAATGTAACATGCCTTATGAACTACGAGTAGTAAGAGGGTAGTTTTTTTTTGACAGCAGTAAGTGGTTTAAGGTGATTGATTACGTTTTATTTTTTTCGCGAGTGATAAAGACAAAGTAATAAGGTTATAAATTCTGACTATATTTTGTAACTCCAAAATTTCTACCAAAATCATGTAAAACGCGCTGGCTGTTCTCTTCTACCAACAAAAGGGCCGTTAAACCCAGAACGCACTGCCGTAAACACGATAATTAGAGCAATTAGCGACAGTGTAGACTCTGCCTTTGTTTGGTGCAGCGAGGGGAGTCCCCTTCGGTGAAATGGCTAAGTGTTCGGTGCCGATCGCTTTGTTTCTTGTTGTGTGACGTTAAAGGGTTAAATTGGGTAACATTATTAGGTTTAGATGCAGAATCGATCATTTTATTACGCAAAGTGAAACGAAAAATAGGCTCTTTACTTTTATCGACAGCACATCTTACCTACTGATATTTTGTAAGGATGTATAGATTTGTTACTCTTTCACGCAAAGGCTACTGACTCTATAGCTACTATAGCCTTATCGTTAATATACATTTAGAATAACTATACTAAGCTATAACAGTATTAAAGATCTGTGAGAAGATGAAATTCACGCGGGCGAAGTCGCGGGCAGAAGCTAGTCTTTTATAAATACGGGTAGATAAGAAGATACCTCTGTTTTTAAATTGATATGCCGTCTGTACACCAAAAAATGTAAAAGACCGATTTGAGCTGTTCTGAAGAAAAGATGAAGAAAAATCTAATCTTTCTAAGCCATCACACATCACATTGCTTTCTAAGCCATCGAGCCAAATCAAAGCTCATTACAGGTTGTCCCGTTCCCGAATATTGCTAATATTCCCAGAAATATTAAATATTAATAAACAGGAACCATCCCAAGTCCCAGGAAATGGGATCGGTGTTTTATTGGGCAAAGAGAGCGAATGGACGCCCCGCAATAAACGGGCTCGTAAACAGAATGGACTATTCGATTTGTGTTTGCATTATAATAATAATGATACTTTATTATTATTTTATTGGCTTTAAAATTCAAAACATTTGAAATGAAAATCGTTTTACCACAATTTTTTTGAGACCCTGCAGCATTCATTATTTTTCAGCACTTTTTCCACTCTCCCTTTAGTATGATATTTATAGAGACAAACATCTAGGTTTCCAAATCATTCACTTAATAAGATCTTTATAAATCCTTCAAAAACTGTAAAAATAATGAAAACACCTATCTACTTTTTTGGGGTTCAAAGCCAAAAATATTATTCCTTCTTTCACCTTCTTCAGCGTTCATTGTACCGAAATTATGCATATCATTAATATCAATCCCGACCTAAATTTTAAGTATGTAAATCTAAATCCAATCCTACTTCCTAAAATCGGATATTAAGGCCATCTTTCTTTACACAAGCTCTCGAACTCGGTTCGACAATTGCCTACCCTCGCCATCGGTGGCCTTAAAGGAATGATGTTACGCCCTGCCTATTGCCCCCTGTCGCAAAGAATAAGCTTGTGTAAATTAGGCAGAAATGTTGAACGATTCTTATCTTTGTTTGGGTTGGTATTTCTGAATGTTATTTGATAGAAAACATTGAAACAGCTGACTGATGAACCCTTTTGTACACTATTATAAAGAATATAATTTTAAAAACGGTTACAAATTTATTACGCGAATTTAGTACGCGTGGATCTCGTTTTACCCCCTTCATCTATCTTACGCGGTTTAGATTTTTTCATACAAATGTTTTTTCCCGCTAACTCCCGTTCCCGTGAGAATTTTGCAATATCCTGTTGTAACATAAGCTTTAAGTTTACTAAGGTACCTGCATGCCAAATTTCAAGCGTCTAACTTAAGCGGTTTAGATTTTTCATACAAAAGTATTTTCCCGATAATTCCCGTTCCCTTGGGAATTTCGGGAATTCTTTTCTTAGTGCACCTCTACGGTACCTAAGCTACGTCCCATCCAAAGTTCTCATCAAATTTCAAGTGCCTACGTTTAGCCGTTGATATGTCAGTCAGTCAGTCAGTTTCTATTTTATTTTATTTTCTATTTTATTTGTTATTTTTAAAGAAACGTAAAATTTGTGCTAACTGGTAAATCAACTTTAATACAATCAATCACACTTTGAAATAAGCCCTGCCTGAATTATGATATTTACATTTTTGAGGTAGTAACATAAATGATGAAGTACCTACATGTCTTCAACGCAATTGGTCACTTTAATACGCACATAGATAGAGCGTCTTAAAGCAAAAAGAAGTTTCTTTGTTTGTAAAAGCTATATTAATGTGGCACTTCTGTATTTTTTGCGCAGTTTATTCTACAGCCGGGGTCAAGTCCTAATCTGGTGTCACTCGCAACATTGTTTTCGAGCGTTACGGAAAAAAGTTTCGAAGTCGGGTGTTTTAGGGTTCTCTTGCGAAACTTTATCCATAACAAACAAACGGGGACTGCCCCGTTATTTGAAATCTTTTATGTCGAATAAAAATATTACTGACTGAGTTACCTACCTTTATTTAAATAACTTGCGAATTTTAAGAATTTAAACATTATATTTTCTTGTACATTATCACAATGTAATTACTTTTGTAAAGGTAAATGGTAGGTGCATGCAAACACTTTTTATTTAACCTTGAACACTTTATTGTCACCACTGTACCACCACAATGTGTCCCTACAAATTATTATTATTATCATTCTTGAAACAAAAAAAATAACTACAAGAACGTAAACACACAATTTACTCACGATGCGACGCCTATTACGACTTACGAGAGCATTTTTCTAATAAAAGCTTAGATTTTATATCAAAAACTCCTCCAGAACCCTGAAAATCTCAAAACAACTGCCACTTTTATGTAACAAAGTCGACACTTCATCCAGCTTGGGTTTGAATATTAATTTCAATGTCACTTTAGCGTTCAGTTCTTTCTTTACAAAGATTTCGGGTTTTCGTGTTGACGTTTTATACTTTCGTGATAAAAAGTTTACGGTTGAAACTTTACTTTGTGTAACTTTAGGTTCCACTTGAAATTGCAGAATTTATTTCTAAATCCTTATTTGAAAATAAAAAAGATAGCTCTTAAAATGTGGAATTGAAATAGAACGCGACAATATAAAATTTTATATTATTATTACAAAATAGTAGATCAAATCAAATCATTTATTCAGCACTTAGCACATTTCCAGGGCGCAAATATAGCTTGCCCTACCACCACTTTGGGACAGCATAATATGGGCTAGCTGAGAAGAAGTAGTGGAAGAAACTCAGGTTGATGTTCTGATATATTTATTTGTGTAAAAAAATATATTGTTGAACAAGATGCCATGAAAGTAAATTGTGGGAAAAACCTTTAATTTCCACTTCAAAGTGTTGTCCTAATAATCCTAACTAAACATTGTTTTCCTTAACTCAAACTGTTTTATTGTTCCAGGCGGAGTGTGGTCCCTGGGCAACCTCTCGATATCGGTGCCCCGCGCGGTACTCTCGGGGGAGGGCCAGTCTGCGATCCTGAGGTGCTCTTACGATTTGGAGGGCGCTGCTTTGTATTCGATAAGGTGAGGAATGTTCTTGATATGTCATGCTAATTATAATAATGTCGTCGATGTAAATATATTTTTGTTTATTTTCAAAGATAACTTTATTAGCTACAAAAGATGCTGCGCGAATCCAAATGCAAATTAAGAAAAAACCTTAAATTATTATAATGTTATTTGTGTCTTGGCTGAGTAGTAAATATCCCAATGGATATGTTGGTCATATTATACAATAACCAGTTAATCAATCAACATAGGAACCTATGATATAACTTGGATTTTGTAGACTCTCGATTTGATTTTTCAGCATCGATTGACATAGATTTTTCAGTTTCAATCATTAATAACAGTATCAAGAGCGAAATTTTGCAATGTAAAGTAACCGTGTGATATTAAAGTAAATCGCTTCTACTACTTTTATCTCTCAACTTGAGAACTATTTAGCACAAATCCCACTTCCCTAAGAAGCCACACATCCTCGCTGACGTTTAATTTGTCGGCAGATGGTACCGCGCCGAGAACGAGTTCTACCGGTACGTCCCGCGGGAGATGCCGCCGACGATGGTGTTTCCGCTGCCGGGGGCTTCGGTCGATGTGAGTGCTTATTGGACAGTAAATAACTGTATTTAAAAGATTTGTTGGTTTAGTAAGCTTAAGATCTTTAACGGAAAGATAGTGAAGCTAAGGAAATGACAAGAACCGCCAATCTTAATTCACCCCTTTGGCTAGATTACTGGCATTATTCCACTTGGAATTTATTTATTTATTAAGGCATACACAACAGGTAACAATTAAGGGATACAACGGTAGTTACAAATAATTGCAATTATCTATACTTCTATACTAATATTATAAAGCTGATGTTGTGGAAGATGACGCTCTACCACCATAAGGAAGCTATGGTGTTAGAGCATTTAATTTACACAATCTTGGTTTGTCTATATATACTGGGCAGGGTAAAAAACTTCGTCACCGCGATGCAGGATTGTATGCGCGGTGGAGTTTGCCATAGTAAGATCGTAACAGCGCCATCTGTTGGTACGGTTTGTAGTGGCGCAATTTATTAATCACAGTTTGTTTATTTGGTTGAACGCGCTAATCTCAGGAACTACTGGACCAATTTGAAAAATTCTTTTTGTGTTGGATAGTCCGTTAATCCCTGAAGGCTTTAGGCTATATATCATCACGCTAAGACCACTAGGAGCGGAGCACCAATGAAGAATGTTTCAAATCAGTGATTTTTTTCCTTTTGAGAGCTGACGCTGCGTAAACGGTTAAAGTTTCGCATAAATTATGTATGATAGGATTTTCCCCTTTAAAAGTTCTACAAAAAAGTCCGCGACAGCATATGTCTATCTTTTATGGTTGGCTCACTGTAACCTTTTTGTCTGGATGTCTGGATGTTTGTTCCTCTTTCACGCAAAAACTAATAAACGGATTTTGTTGAAACTTTACAGTATTATTATTTATAACCCAGGCTAACATATAGGCTACAATTTATGATGATATGTGACAAACTAAATTTCAATAAATAGTTAAGAGGTGAGAAATATCTTTAAAAACGCCATCTATCGACGTGCTTTTGACGGTCGTAAACATTCATGAGAGCGAAGCCGTGAAACGTATCATTAGTCCTAATTAGGAACTAAATATTACATTTATAGAACTGTTCATAATATTTAAAATTTAGTCAATAAAGATATTTTATGTAATTGAATAATTCACTGTGTTTAAACGAGCAAATCAATGTCTAAATTAGTGACCGCCATCTATCGACGTGCTTTTGCGGTCGTTAACATTCATGAGAGCGAAGCCGTGAAAAGTATCATTAAAAATTTATGTAATTGAATCATTCACTGTGTTTAAACGATCAAATAGTATTCAAACATTTAGATAATAACGTTAAAAACCATTTAAAAATCCTATGAGAACTTTTTCGACTTCTACACGGACAAAGTCGCGGGCAAAAGCTATTTGTAAAATCATCATCATCATCATCATCATCATTTCAGCCATAGGACGCCCACTGCTGAACATAGGCCTTTGTAAAATAATTAGACTAAATTATTAAAAGTGCCTACCCAAAGTCATTAATCCACGCGGACGAAGTCGCGGGCACAGCTAGTTACAGAATAATGCTTATAAATCTAGATTGGAATTGAAATAGAAGCTACGTTTTAGATCATTAAAAATAAATGATAAAATATTTTCGTGCTTCACTTCATGTTTTGTCATATTAGGCTGAGTTGCACCAACTTAAATTTTAATCGTAACAAAACAATACACGGCGTGTTAAAGTAAGATGGTGTAACTCAGCCTTAGTGTTAGGTTTTTGAGTTGATAAAGATTGTACTTAAAATCATTTTACCTCTAAAAATAAATAGTTTATGATGATTAATACACACCAGATCAGATGGATCGAAGACCCCCATTTTCCTTTATTATCCTTCTTTTTCTTTCTTTAAGACCAGACTAATGAATACCCAATAGATTAAAATCAACTGCACTATCTACTTCAAAGGCATTTTAATTTAACTTCTTTATTATTTTTTCCTATCAGCTAGCGCAGTCAGACCACCAGCAGGTGCGAATAGTGAACATGAACCGGCGCCTCAGCGGCGACTACCAGTGTGAGGTCTCAGCGGACGCGCCGCTGTTCCACACCGACATCCGATCGGCGCCGCTCACTGTTGTTGGTAAGCCGACCTTGTTGTCCACACAATAGCTTTTTTATTACAATGACAGTGAACATTGTAAAATACAATTTGTAATAAGACAGCTAGAACATTAGCCACTTTTTGGAATCTGGATGTAGTGCAGTGATCACAGTCACAGATTCTACTCCGCAACATTAACCTTTTCAGCGCCACGTCAAATACAAAAGCCATCACTCTGACGCCATTTGTTTAGTTTACATATACTCAATTAGCCTATTACTGAAATCATTTTTAAGGCGGATTAATCCGTCGTTGGGGGTCACCCTGATGTACGGATGTATCCGTCATTGGCGTTGAAAAGGTTAAAAACGCCAAACGTGGCGATTGAGTTGCTTTTAGGAAGCTCGACGCAGCGACAAAAGTCGCTAAAACGCGCGATTCCGATACCGCGTCCGAACGCATGTTGTCGCAAAATCGCCGATCGCCGTCGTTAAAAGTAGCATGTGTGCTATGACCCCATAACGCGTCCGAACATAATAAATAAATAAATATCCTTAGACATTTTACACTGCGCCTCTAGTCCCAAACTAAGCAAAGCTTGTACTAGGGGTACTAGACAACGGATATAAACATACTTAAATACTTACTTAATAATGAAGTTGCCAAATCGCGATGCTGCATCGATACAGTCGCAAAATTTTGTATGTGCTAGGCGACTCTACAATAATTACGCAAGTTTATTATTTAAGTTAATACCTAATAACAAATCTTTTCCTTATGAATCCAACGGTATCAAAAAGAACCAAAAGATTTTCAATTAAAAGTTCCCCGAAGAATTCCCAAGTTTCCATCATATAAAGTGACAAAATCAGATTAAAGTATGACTTTATCGTTGGAGAGACCATCAGTGTCTTCGTCCTTTTATCGTCCAAGATGGAGGGAAAAACTCGAGCAATGGAGAATCGTTTCATCTTGCAGAAATATTTTTATAGAAAATGTTTGAAAATGATAAGTCAATTTACTTAATTCTGGAACCACCTTCTATTATTTTCCTACTAATATTATAAATGCGAAAGTTTGGATGTCTGAATGTTTGTTACTCTTTCACGCAAAAACTACTGAACGGATTTTGATGAAACTATTATTGTTTATAACCCAGAATAATGTATAGGCTATAATTTATGACGATCTGTGACAAACTAAATTTCACGCAGGTGAAGCCGCGGGCAAAAGCTAGTAAAGTATAATAATAGGTACCTACTATTAATTGCCGCAACAATACAATTCCCCGTGACAAGTGTTTTTAGAGGTTAGTATAGTAATTTTCACACATTCGTCATACTAAAGGCGACCCTTATAATGTCTACTAGTCTAATATACAGACTACAGGCATTTGCCACTTAGCCTTGGGCTACAATACCCAATGTAAGGCTTGATTTTAATAACAATGCCTAGCGAGTCTATTCATCTGTGACTTGATTGAAAGCCTTGGAGAGAGGAAATCTTGGCTAGTGTTTATTTCGTAAAGTAACTATAGGTATAATGCTTAAGCTCAGTTAGTGCCTGAGGCTTCAGTCTGCACATATTTGATGTACTTAAATTTGGCTATTCTTACCGTTAGGATAATTCCTGGCAATAAGTGGTGACTGACTTTCCGGCGTTTCTTCTCAGCACTTGCCATATGTTTGTCTCGAAGCGCTGGTAGGGCCCAAAAGATAAGGAGACATGTAAAGTGCCCCATAAGGGCTACCTTTTTTTTATATAATAATATTTGACGTTCACAAGTGCTACTTGTTTGTGGTCTAAACTGAATAAATATTTTTGATTTAGATTTTGAGGCATGGGGGCGGCACAGGAGGGGTGACATTGACATTTATGACGTGACAGAGTATACAAATCTGTAGGCGATTTGAAGTTTTGCTGACGTTTGACCGTCACAAAAGCAGTCTCCCGTGCCACCCCTATCCTCAGGCACTGACTCCACGTTATGTTTTGTTTTATTTTTGTTTTAGAGCGCTTTCACAGTTAGCGATTTAGCAGCGCGACAAAAGTGCGACAGACGCGCTGCCAAAAATTTCTTATTATGTGACAGCGGATGCAAGCCTTCACATTATAAAAACGCCGCTGCCGCGCTGCTGTCGCGCTTCTAACGCCCTAATGTGAATGAGCTCTTATGCAAGCCACCTTAATAATGATTATCTATCTGTTCCCATAGATCCACCGTTCCGAGCGCCCCAAATCACCGTCTCCCAAAGGAGCTACGCCAGAGGAGACCAGATCAGAGCCAACTGTTCGGTCGACGAAGCCTACCCGCCCCCTAACATTACATGGATCTTGGATGACCATAAGGTAACGAAAAATTATTTGCAAAATTATTTGCCAGAACGTTGATGACTCTGTCTGTACATTAAAAAACATTAAAAGCCACTTTACGACGACGACATCTTAAAGGTAGCAGGAAGGCGCTGGACACAGACCGCTACCAACTGGTCTACATGGAAATCATTGGGGGTGGCCTATGTTCAGCAGTGGACGTCCTACTACGGCTAAAATAATGATAATGGTGATTAAAAGCAACTTTTAGTCAATCTTTATAACAATACGCCGCGCCTTTTATGCAAGCAAGGCACCCATTAACATTATGACACGATCAACACCCATAGGTGTTTTGATACATAATATCAAAACACTAAAGCGTGGTCACGACGAACATTATGCCGAATCAAAATGTTCAGTCGCAAATGCTTTTGTTGATGCATTGACCATTTAAGAAAAAGCAAAAGAGCTTGACTCTGACACTATTTTTGCAGAAAATAATTACCTATAAAAGAAACCTCAATTTCTTGGCCATGTTGCTGGCTAGAAAAAATATATTTTTGTACGACTTATAACAAGACCAATTGAACGATTGTCAATTCCTTTGTCTCTTCTACACTCAAGGGGTTGCTTACAAATTCACGTGTCATTACATAAAGTGTAAATATCTCTGATACGTTATTTCGCAAACGCGACCCAAATATTTTGCCCAACAAAAGGTTTTCACCCGAAGGAGCGCCTGCTTTTTATTCACGGCCGGAGTTGAAAACAATATGCCGTTATTCGTAGATTTTTCTTCATTAGTAAAAGAGGATATTTTTTATTTTGTCCCAGATTTTTTTGGCGCAATCGTGTAGTCGCTGCTAAGTTTTTATTGATTCGAAAGGGACTGGGAGTTTTTCTATTCTGAGAACGATTTGGTTTTAATAGAGTTGTTATTTCATCGAGATTTTTACGATTGGAATTTGCTGATAGACCCTTTTTTGGAACAATATTGCGTTGTCTGTACCCCAATCAGAATTGTCTTTTATTCAAAGTAGATCGAGAACGCGGTAGAGTAGATATTCAAAAGGTATTTTGAGGCTTAATTTGATTCCGGAAGAATATAAATAAAGTCTAAAACAATGTAAGGCGAAAAGGAGGCTTTTAAAAGAAAGGAGAATAAAATGTCTATAAAACTATTCTATCACAGTTTCTGACTTCTGAGTTACATTGAGTACATTGTTATATGTTCCCGGTGTGGCAGTAAAGGAGATAAAGGTTTGCTTTAAAATGCTTCCATAATTCTGGCAAGAAAAAAATTATTTCGTGTTTGGATTGGGCCAAGATAGACACATAGTAATGCCTTTATAGTTTGACATCAGTAGGGACAATTTGACACCATTCTTCAATAATTCGAAATCACAACTTTTCTAAAAAGACACTAATTCATTCTGGTCTTAAAAACTTAATTAGTTTTAAATTACCTGTAAATTACGATTTTTGGTTGCATTGTAATTGAAAAAAGTAGTTTATTTGAGAGACAAAATAGTGACGTCACTTGCTTGTAGTGCCATACAAAATCTATGGGAGAGATTCGTTTTGACAGTTTTAAAAAGTACGTCAATTGATTGGTGGTGGCAACATGTCTAAATATTGACACCTCATTTAGTGCAGTTGGATTGGGTCATGTTAGACCCACAAAAGGGCGACTGACACTAGTGTTGTGATTATGTTAGATCCACATAAAGACCTGACCTAAATATCAACTCCGAACACTATAGAAATACGAAATTTTAATAGCATTCCCCATTGTATCACAGATAGCTGAGACGATCTCCTGGCGAGCCACCGAGCTGGACTTCAAAGAGCGGGCCGCCTTCAGCCAGCTGGAGATCTCCATCCTGGAGGTGGAGCACTACAAGATGGGCATCACCTACACCAGCTCCAGCCTCAACAAGGTCTACCACGACCACTACGTGTATGATCGGGATCATGATAAGGAGGACAGTGAGCTTCTTAGGTAAGAGTAAGAGTCAGAATTATTACTCGTTTCTATTTATGTTTTATCGACCTCTGAGTCTGAAGCAGATGGTCTTACTACAAGACCACAGATGCGGTTTAGACGAATTAATTAATGGAAAGCTGTTTCTGCAGCTAGGTATTATTGTTTCTTCGATCAATCAATCAGCATCAATCAGTAAATCATCAAAATATAATAACATGCTACAAACCGAAGGAATTAACTGCCAACAATACACTGTGACAGACCTAACTAGACCATAATTATTATAAACACATAGATCAGACTTTGTTAAAATTTAATTTAATGGGAATCTATTATGAGTAAAAAATATTATTACGACCGTCATAAAAAAAAAAAACAAAATCCACAAACGTTTTTGAGTAGGTCAAAGTAACAGATCACAGAAAACTTTTTTAGAACACATCTCACAAAAGTATCAAACATTTTATTTCTATGGCAACATATTATAGCGACATTTCCTATCGGATGTGAAGACACACGTCGCTGAGCCATGGAACCAAGTCAGTAAGAAATTAATGAATATTTTTCTTTCCCATAGATACACCCTCATACCTCCACCATCGAGCCAGTTCACCCTGAGTTGCGTGGCGACCATCTTCGACATCTACGAGCGGAAGAGTGACGCCGTCTACGTCAAGGAGGACTCGCCTCAGCCCGCCTCCGTCACGGGAGAGGACTCTTCAGGTAATCAGCCTAAACCATATGTAATTTCAAGGGGATTATACCCAGATTGTACGACTCGGAGTCGAGTCGCACAGCGAGCAATGGGAAGACAGATGCTTGGCGTTTCCCTAAAAGATCACAAAAGGAACGAGTAGATCAGAGAAAAGACGGGGGTTAGCGACGTGGTAGAAGTGATTGAGAGCCGTAAATGGAGATGGGCAGGGCACATTGCACGGATGAACCAGGATCGCTGGGCCAGAAAGACCCTGGAGTGGAGACCCCGCAACAACACCCGCGGCAGTGGGGTCGTCCACTAAACGGTGGATAGACGACATCCGGCAACAGGCTGGAGTGAACTGGATGCGTGTGGCCAGGGACAGAAGTCGGTGGAGGGTTGAAGAGGAGGCCTATGTTCGAAGGCGAACCCAAAGGCTGCTATAGATAGATAGATACCCAGATTAGTCTTCATGAAGGAGGACTCGCCTCAGCCCGCCTCCGTCACGGGAGAGGACTCCTCAGGTAATCAGACAAAACCAAATGTAATTTCAAGGGAACTATACCAAAAAGCATTTTTTTTTTCTCTTTTCTCCCTTTTTTTTAACTCAAATTAATAATACCAAGAAGCTGCTTCTCCCCCTTATTTCCACCTCCTTTTCCTCCCCTTTTTTCCTCCTCCTTTTCCCCTTTTTTAGTAAAACAAATCCCACTAAAAACATCTTCATACAAAGTGTTGCCAAGACGAGACCATAATGGATCGCATTTTGGTAAAGTTTGATTTTTGATCTCATGTAGAGCCAGGCCTGTTCATCTCCGCGAGTTTACATCGAAAACAAAACACGCACGATGGCCCACCTACAGGATACTATTCGACAAGGCCTCACATACGAGCCAACATTGACTCACGCACGCGTATTCTTGTGTTTGATGGAAGAAAATAAAGAAAATGGTGTACTAAATACTGTGCAGTATTTAACTGCCTAAATATAATAAAAACACAGAATGTAATTTTTTAAGTTGCCTCAAGACACTGAGAGGTAAATAAGTAGTTAATATCGTCCATATCCATGATAATTCATTCTAAATCATGTATTTCCTCCGCCATTTTCCGCAGTTTGGCACCTCACGTCACATCATTTTACCAAAGTCAGCCCTATAGCTTCGGCGCAGTGCCGATCACTGACGTTTGTCAACAAAATGGTGCTTGACTCTTGAGACAGGCTAAATTACACCATTTTGTTAATGACATTGAGCATAATTTTTTTTAAATACCTTCGCGAAGTAAAACTTCTGTACGTAGTACTTATTATTCTGTGGTAGAGCCAAGATTCTAGCTCTACACCCCATAGCTAAACAAACTTTACATAGTCAAAATATTGACATGGCCAAGGTGCCATTCCATTTCGCTTGACTCATTAGTACATGCCGTATTCAAGAAGCACATCAAGAAGCAGTTTTTTCTGAAGAACACAAAGCATCTATAAATAAATAATAATAAATAAATAAATCTTTAGACAATTTCACACATCGCCAGCTAGCCCCAAAGTAAGCAACTTAATGCTTGTGTTATGGGTGCTAGCTTAACGGATATACTACTTATATACTTTTTTTTTTAAATACATACATATTATACATAGTAAGTAAATCTGCTCCCATTACTTTAATTAGAATACTGTTCATTGAACGGAATAATTTTCTATTCCTACAAGATCAGTGAATTTATTGCAATAAACTTCGTGGAAAATAAACGTCCCTGTAGTTCAATCGGCCAGATAAAAGTCTTCTTCGACCTTTATCATTTTACTTAATTAATGTTTGGATTTTAGTTTCAGAATGAAAATTAATATTTTGTTTGTATTTTATTTAAGCTTGTTAATCGTAAAAATTACTCGTATGTAAAAAAAGAATAAATACTCTTACATACATACCTACCTTTACAAGCACAAAACAATTTAGTATTCGTAACCTTATTCACCTGCAGTGTCTTTAGAATAATGTCAGTTGGTGCGGATCCAATATTGATAATATCTCAAATTCTCTGGGGTGCGTCCTCAGTGTAAGCGCGATGCAGGAAAACGTGCAAAGTGCCAGAAAAATAGTGACAGGGATTTCTTATAATCTTGAGACACAAGAAGCAGTAAAAATGGATAATTTATAATCTTTTAACGTCTTCAAGTTACCTGACCTGGAGATGGATCTCAAGTTCCAAATGTTATTATACTGTCACATAATGTCTATCTCGTCAATGTGCAGTAGTTAAAAGATAAATGGCTACCATTACTAAAAAGTTTTGCGAGTCCTATTCTGGGAAAACTATTTATTTTTCATTTTTTAATGGGACAGGAGGCAAACGAGTTCTTATCACATCTGGAAATTTTAAACATAATAAGGTTTTACTGGTTAACAGATTGTCTTGGGTAGTAGTAGGCGTTATAACGGTATTAAGACCTACTAAAAATTCCAAAAATAACGAATGAACAAATTCCACTCGGTCGCTAAACGCTACCGCTCCGCTCCCCGCCGTAACTCAGCCCCCAAATGTGAACTATGCAGAAATTTTTCCATTTCATCTGAGCACAGTGTTCGATAAAATCACTCTAGAACTATGCAATATGTATGAGATACAGCCGTTATCATAAATATAGTTAACATTCATGTATTCCCCTAGTGTGGCCGTATGAGGGAATCCCAGCATTGTCTGGGCTAGAAATGGATTACTTTTTTATGTCAATGCCGCAATCTCGGCGAGCACTGCCAAATATGTAATATATCCAGTTAAGTTATTCCGCTGAGGGTTATTAAGGGGACTAGTTTAAGCCGACGACTTTGCCTTTGCGAAGACATACGCCTTTTCTTTTTATTTGTTTCGATTAGAATCTAAGATAAACTTTTCTGCCGAACTGCACTTTTGAGTTTCGATGAGATTTGTAACCAGTACGTACCCAAAATAGGGTATTTGCTACCACCAATCAATAATTGGCGTACTTTTTAAAACTGTCAAAACGAGACTCTCCCATAGATTTTGTATGGCAATACTAGCCAGTGACGACACTATTTTGTCAAGTCAATTCAATTACTTTTTTCAATTAATTTACAGGTAATTTAAAACTTATTAAGTTTTTAAGACCAGAATTTAAAAAACTTGTGCTTTAGAATTATTGGGGAGAGGTGGCAAATACTCAATTACCTATGACCTACCAGCTTTAAGACAAGCTTTGGCAAGGTATGCTTGGCTTCCTACTAGAAGCTTTGCAGCAATCTCAGTCATCACTGTCTGCCAATTTTATTATACAGGGTGTTCGGAAGAGGATTAGCCGTAACACGTTAGGTCATAATATAGGTTAGATAGAGCCATTTTACGAATACAAAGTCGGCCATTTATTTTGATCCTGTGTGAGCATTTGAGCAACAGTTTGTTTGAGCAATTGTAGCTATTGGATTTTGGAAAATACTGGAAGGATTTTGAATTACATATTTGAAAAATCCTTACAGTATTTTCAAATGTAATTGGTTCCAAACCGGAGACTATCAAATATAAATTAAAATTCTTTATTACCATGTAGGCCCTTTTAGAGCACATAAATATAGCAATACTTTGGGACAACATAATATCAACTGGTGCGTAGAAGTGGTGGAAGAAACTCATGTCCGTTTTCACTATCAATCCCTAACTTTTAGGTGACCCCTATGTAAACACTATTCCTGATATTTTTACCATAGGGGTCACTTAAAAATTAGGGATTGATGGTGAAAACGGGCATTAGTCACCTTTATACTCGTATTACTTTTTCAATTACGGTGCACAGTAAAACCAAAACTGGTTTTTGTGACACCGTCAAATAGTTATCATTAATATTTGGAAATGCTATGTAACTTGTTTTAAATAAATAAATAAATATAATTCTACCTATAGTAGATTCTGTGATCAATTTTACTATCGGTATTTTCTTTATGTAGTAAAAAATAAACCTCTACCTTAGCCCTTTTACGATATTTTTAAATGAAATTTCAATATGCTCCCTCTATTCCAGGTACTGCGCCCTCATCCAGCGCCATCTTGCTGATCGCCTGCGCGTGCGCGTGCCTGCAGCGCGCGTTATGATCCCCCCGCGCGCCGCGCGCCGCCCCCCTTAAGCAGTACCGAAACTGAATGTTGTGATAGACACTTAATGAAATAATAGTCGATTCTAGTGTAAGACATATACTTATTTGAATGTTGCCGATTACTATATGTGAATATGTAAATAAATTCATTAGTTACTGATTTTTGGTGTTTTATTTTGTAGTGTAATATTGCCCTGTTTAATAATGTTGCTTAAAGGTCATAGCAGACCTATATCTGTGTAAAGCCTGGTCCGTGAGCACGTAGAATCCCGTCCAATGACCCCAAGCTACCCATCCTTATCGCTCGCGCCTAATTATATTGCTGTCGCGACTGTGCGACGCGCGCCCGCAGTGAGTGTGCGAGCGCGCCAGCAACATAATTACGTGCGAGCGACAAGGATGGACAGCTTGGGGTCATTGGACGGGATTCTACGTGCTCACGGACCAGGCTTTAGCAGACTTATCAACTCTGAAAGGGATCAACACTGTATCGCCTTTCGCGCGCTGTCAACCGCGAGGCGTTTACGTTACGGTGCGGATAAGTGTGCGTTGCAGTATGGAGTTTCGTACAAGGAATACTGACCGCCTCAAGTTGATAAGTTGATACGGTTACGATCCCTTTCCGGGTTGATAAGTGTGCTACGTCCTTTAATGGGAAAGCAAGTTATACCTAAAATTGTTCACTGAACAACGTTTTCAAACGCTGAGCATTTTTCTTTTTGTAACGATATAGGTAGTGTTTTACTGTTATTTTTATGTACTCAACTAATTCCTTAAATATTTTTCCTGCAATGTAGCATTTAGGATGGATCATAGCATTTAGTTACAGTCATCTTTGTATGAGTTTTTCCCGGGAAATACATTTCCCACGAATTTCATAAAATAAGAGGATATTGTTCCCACTTTACAGTGCGCACTGGAACCATGATATTTCAAAAGAATTATTATCAATAGCAAAATATTTGTTTGGAATTAAAAAACAATATTGTGCACAGGCCAAAAATAATGCACAATATTCAATATTATATACTCGCTATTAATTCACTCAATATATTTTTGCTGCATACAGTTATTCACTCTTATTTTCCAAAGGAAACGTCTAATGCAATAGAAAGATACCTTTTTCCATCAAATAAGCTCTCAAGACAAGAGACAAGTCGAAGCTTTAAATAATGATGAGTTTAAGTCGTGTACCTATGGCTGCAGGTTCGAAACCTGCCGAGATAATTTTACAATAATGAACGTGGGCATTTATAAATTCTAGAATCATGAATGTTTATGCAAAAAGTCATAAACGTCATTATTCCTTTGAGTTAGTAAGGTGGCTTCAAAGTCTTTTTACAACGTCACAACTTAACTTTTTTACCTCCTCTAAGTTTAGAGATCTTAAAGATCGCTTAAGTAAAGCTATTTTTCACAGGAAAAGTGCGCGATAAATCTAGGTTAATCAATCAATCAATTAACACGAAAGAGGATCAAAAGTTCATGGCCAGAAAACCAAAGAAAGTATTACATACATACATAAAACTTACGCCCGTATTCACAAACGATACTTGCTTAAGTGAAGCAGCAAATAGAATAGAGCTCTGTGATTGATTCGTGTGGCATCCTGTGCGACCACGAGCACTGTGGGACCTCATAGTAATGTTTGTGAACACTGGTGAATGTCTTTTCTAGCATTAATATCCGTAAAATATCCCAAAATCTCAAGTTTCCATAAATTTCTCCCAGATACTTACATTACACCGTTCCACTCAATTTCACACAAAATGTAAAACACTTGAAACTGAAAACTTAACTGTAATACAATCCACGATAACTCAAGCAAGACCCAATTCCGGTATTCAATTTGAGGACTTGCGCCGCGACAAACGCGACCTTAAGCTATTTTATTTTAGAGTCCAAACTCGGATAGTGATACTGCTGAGTGAGTGAGTGCAGACCAGAAATACGATGCTTAAATTCTTTTAATATAAGGTTCAGATTTGAGATGGACTTGGACGTTCCTGAGATCGTTACTCCAAGCCGCGCTCTGAAGGGCCCTACAATAAACCAGCTCGAGTCAGGCCAGAGGTATACGGTGCTTGATAAAAGTATGTGGTATGTTTTATTAGAGAAGTTGCTGGAACTTCGCCGTTTTCAATTTGCCAAGAAATTAGGGTGTAAGAAGTTTCGTTAAGTTTGCAACTTGGATTTTAGTATGCGATCTAATCGAAAGAGTTGCCGCAAATTCGAGACGCAGAAACTCGCGTTGAGTTTGAGCGATTCCGTCGAGTTTAATAGGTTTCGCGTAAATATGTTGGTAAATGAATAAAATGTTGTAATTTAGACTGTAAAAATAAAAAGAGAGCGTAGAGCAAGTACATAAACTTAAAATCAAGATCTAATAATAGAGTTATTGAGGAATAATCAGAACCCTACCTAAAAACCTCCTGATTAAAATTAAAATTATCTGACCTTGACAAAATGACGTAGCAATAATTTTTAGGAGAATGTGCCTGAATACATTTTCCTCCTATTTAAATTATTTTTCAGAAGATAAGCACTTGTCATCATCATAAGCGAGTACAGACTAGCTAGAGCATTTCTATATCTTAGTCAAACGATTCTGAAAGAATAAGTGGCAAAAATCGGAACTAATAACACAGTATGCCCTCCAGTAAATGTCACAATTATAAGGTTGTCCAAGTGGCAAATCTCAGAATTTAATAATCCAGTGTTGATAGAGCGCCCTCCTGACAATGCTATAGCTGGGACGGTACAATGTTGGACAACTATGATGCAACGTTCTTACGAATTGTAGATACAATACAGGTGACATGTATGCGACAGATGATACACAACATTCATAGGTTCGTTGTTCTGTTATAAGTAAACGCTCCAGTCTACACTCGCCTTTAGAATGCGGCATATTAATGCAACTAGTTATCAAGTCAGCCAGTGCCACAGCATCAGAAACACTACTCCCGCTAAACGTACTTTAAAATTCCCAACAGCTGCTGCAGCAGAATTTCCACTGAACTTTCCAATACATATAATTTTATTGCATTCGCATATGGTTAGAAAGTTGCTACTTCAGCACAGAACTAGTGTTATTTTTATATTTATGGTAATATCTTCCTGTAGTACTGGAATTTTGGATATTGGAAGTCGTTTTAGTTGGACTTGGAGTTTGTCGTGTTTGGGCTTCAAATATTTTTAGGTACTAAGTGTGAATGTGTATGTTTGTTACTTCTTCACGTCTAAACGGCTGGAGCGATTTCAATAGCATTTGGTATGGAGTTAGCTGACACCCTGGATTAACACTGGCTATGTTTTATTGCGGGTAACACCGCGGGGCACAGCTATAAGGAATGAATCTCTAGTACTGCCCAAGTAAAAACTTTAGATAGTCAAAGGATTTATGATTAGGCTAAACTCTAGGAAAATAGTTAAATCGATGAGTTTCTCTACAAATACCTTATTATCTTTCAGATTAACGCCCGTATTCACAAACGATGCTTGCTTAAGTGAAGCAAATCGAACGCACAGCGTTGAATAGAGCTCTGTGATTGGTTTGTGTGTGACCTTGTGCGTCCACGCGCACTGTGAGACTTCATAGTAATGTTTGTGAATACGGGCGTTAGTTTCAAATACGTATGTCAGTCAATATGTTAATACATAGTAACTAAGCATTAGCGAAGGAGAACTGATCCCCGAAAACCGTTGGACTCTTGGGGTAAACCACAGATCACAGAAACTAAAGGGAGATGACGTCACGTCACTGCATATGTAGTCGTGCTGTACGTACATTACTTGCAACCTGGTATGCGAACGAATAGTACTTAGCTCTGAATACGATGTGTGAATGACACACACTCTTCGCGACGTATTGTTTTTATTTTGATTACTTTGTATGTGTGAATTTCTAATGCAACAACACTGAGTTTTAAACTCAACGCATTAGTTGGTATCTCTCTATATCTCTATGGGGTAAACCAACTCCTACCACAAGCCTAAATCTTAAGTTGCGCGCCGCGATAAGCGGTTATCACGCCATTTTGTCGATTTTGCCCATACATTTTGATGTCGATAAAGTAGACCCGGCGCGCATCCTATCCCAGTTGGACAGGTTATTATGACAGTTAACAAGAAACAATACGATTAATAGTCTTTAAAAAAACTTCATTATTTAACTGTGTCATCTATAGCGTCTACAAAAGAGAATAAACTCGCAAGCTGGCTATATGATAGGAAATAAATTGTCAGGGCACAGTGCCTTTTAACAGTCATACTGATTAATGATTATATTGACATCATCCTGAAAACACGTCTAGCCCAAGGAGAACGGTAAGCCCAACCCACGAGAGACCATTAGTTACAAATTGAGCCATTAGTGGGCTGGCTGCGCGCCAGTGCGCTGTCACTCCGAAGGAGCCGAGTTATTTCGTCGAGTGGATATTTTATGTTGTGGACTGGTTTAGGAAGTGGGGTTTTAAATGTGAGTATTATACTTTGGCTGTAGGCATCTATTTTATTTTCCAAGCTTAGAGCGCTTTCACATTTAGCGACTTTAGCAGCGCGACAAACGCGCGACAGATGCGCTGCCAATAATTTCATACTACATCTAAATTATACAGGGTAGAAACGATAAGTGATCTCACTCGATTATTTCTTAACTATACAAGATATCCAAAAACTGGTTACTGATCCTGAAAGTGCTCCACGAGCTTTTTCAAACGGTATCAGTAATAGGTTACAGAATTAACTGGATCTATCCGAAAATTCAATGTTTTCAGCCTCCATACTAAATGTATGTCAGCCGCACAATATTAGAAGTGTTAATTTTTTTTATGAAATAATAAACTCTTAAAGTTCTAAGAGAACTTGCTGTGCATTCTTATTTAAAATTATTCATGGAAAACATTGAATTTAGGCTTTACTTGCTATAATAATATCAAGACATGAGTGCCATGACTATGGCAGTACTAAATGTAAGAGCTCGTGGAGCACTTTCAGGATCAGTAACCAGTTTTTCGATATCTTGTATAGTTTAGAAATAATCGAGTGAGATCACTTATCGTTTCCACCCTGTATAACTCAAAGGTGACTGACTGACATAGTGATCTATCA